ATCACATTCTACAGTCTCCCGCGGGGGTTCAGACTACGATCCTTTGATTGTGGATCTCTCTCGTTGATTAGTTTTCATAGCTTTCTAATCTCTCATAACTTTCATTCTCTCAAACTCAAAACACTCGAAAGATCTTTACACTAGCTTTTAGCGTAGTGCATTTTGTTAACAAACACAATAGCTTTCAGCTCCCTCAACCTATTCCTCACCATGAAGATTGCCAGACGCTTACACCAGCTTCGGTCTAAGCTGCGCGACAAACCAATCCTTCCTCTCATCGACCTCGACGATGTGCGAAATCGACGATTCTCGCTCTACCACCTACAAACTTCGCACTGTTCTAGCAGATGCTAACAGCGCCAAGTACACCTTCAAGTCCAAATCATCAATGGATCTGAGACTCCACGTCAGACCATCAAGTGGGCTGGACGCATGGAGAAGGTCTTCGTTGGCTCGCCATTGCTACGCTACCGATAAACATAACCTCCTCAAGGAGATGACTTCTAGCTCTGCACAAGAGCAGTTACGAATCTAGCTGTGCAGGCCACGTGAACTACGTTGGAATGCCTTACGCCAGATTGAGTCAACCGGATTCCTCCACCGACATACGTGGTGGTGAAGACGAAGCCACTTTCCAAGCACGTTTCCAGAATGCCTGGGACGGAGCAGCTCAGCCTGCTTTGGACGACTCTGACATTACGTTCGGCATAAATGCCTGTGTCGAAGCGGTCTGTCCCTACAAGGCTCTGAAAAGCAGAAACGCTTCATGCGCCGCAAGATGCGTAAGCCTGCTGATATGTCTACTCGGGCTTATGTCAACAACCTCAGTCGGATGAACACCGATGAACTTCCTCGTCTACCACTTTTGGACCCAACCAAACTTGAACCATGACGAAGTCATTGACATGTTTGTCATGGAATTCCACGCTCGTGGATGAAGAAGATGGACGAACACGACTTCGACCCTTTCTCAGCTCCTATCGGAGAAACCATTGGATTCTGCGAACGCATGGAATCCTCCGAAGACTTTGACAAGGGCGGTGATCCAAGCAAGCTCCTTCGAGAAGAACAACAGCAAGAAGTACAAGTCTACTCGCAACAACGACATCTTCCAAGAACGAAGAAAAATGGTGTGACTACCACGAGTCCAGCACTCACAACACTGCTGACTGCATGACTTGAAGAAGCTAAGGCCAAGTCTCAGTCTCGTCTGACAACGATAACAAGCCACGTACAACAAGAAAAGACTTGGAAACGCAAGTCCGACGACGCCAAGACCTACACCAAGAAGAACTCTCTGTCCTCATGAAGAAAGTTCCAACGCTGCGGTCAAGGCTGATCGCAAGAAGAAAAGCGAATGCAACCATGTTGCAAGCGCAAGTCGGACAACTCCGACAACGAGGACGACTCCTCTGTTGGATCCATCAACTGATGGACAAGAAGATGGCTGCTGTTACAAGGCGCTTGCCGAATTCGACTTCAATCATTCGATGGAGAGATCTCCGTCTGAGGATTAGGCCAGGATGATGATTCAACGGAACCATGTTCCGATTTCTCAATACCTAAGTGATGAAGATATCTCACTAAATAGTAAACAAGATTTGTTTGCAACTAACGAAGTCTACGGCAAATTAGATAATTGCCTAAACTACTCAACTAGACACGACGATCTGTTCAGCATCGTTAATTCGTCCAGGGCCAATCAATCATCAACGTCGCAAAACAAGAGACCTCGAAACTATCGTCTATGTTAGATTTAACAGACGAGCAAAAGGGAAACGAAAACCCATTCACTCGTTTGCTTACTGGATACAGAGGCATCCGGAACTTTAATTATTCAAACTCATGCTAAGAGTTTACTCATGAAGAATCATGGGGGCGTCCAAACACTACGGACTGCTTCTATGAAGGAATTGAAACCCCGCACGAAGTGTAAGGGCACACTCGCGATTCCTGAGTTCCACGATGATAGAATATCAGATGGAATTTACACGTCACACAGAACTTGGGGGCGCAAGACCGTGATCATAGGTCAAGACACTCTCTGCGAGAGTAGGTTGCGGTAGCAATCCTACTCACTCCACGATCCAAAAACGGAACGCGTGGAAGATTCGTTTAGCATTTATCTAGTAGCGTGGAAGTACTCCACGTTGGCTAAATATCTAGAGCGATGTTTCATCATCAACCTAGTATGACTAGAGCGGTCATTGAGAACCCTGTCTCCAATGACTATTCGCGAAGGACTACGTCATGAGTCGAACTCAGACCCTATCTAGGATCGAGTCGCGAATAAGGCTAAGAGCCGTGTATTGCACTATTCTATTGCATTGCCATCGCTGGCACCTTGTTGCATGAGAAGAAGCCATGGCGGCAGTAGCAAAGTTCCCCGATTACCTCATGCAGGAGGTGAGGAACCTCCTGTCTGTTGTTGCTAGAGATTTGGTCATGAAAGATAGGGCGGATGGAGAGAAAACCAAAGGACAGGAAAAAATGAAAGAGAAAGTGTTCCATGGCTCGCATGGGTATGCATCCATACTTGACGCTTTGTTGGAAGGCAAGGGGCACTATGCTTCAATGTTTGACAGGAGTCCACTCGAGAACAACAGAGAAGGGAATGAGAACTGTGTGGGTGGCTACCAGCTTGGGTTGAAAGATTTCTTCTGCTGTGACGAAAGTGCCAACTACGCTGTACACTCCAAGGGCTTTACTAGAGATCCCATCGCCAACAATGGAACTGAACCCATTACTGGCAGGAATCTAAGTGACCGCGCAACTGCAAGCCTTGCCTGCTACAAGTTTGCTTTGAAGTTCTATGATGAGTATTGCCCCGGTGGAAAATTCCCATCTGGCAAAGGAATCGAAGACACTCTCTTGTACATTCGCCAAAAGATGTATGTTCAGCTGAAAGGAGGAAAGAATTCCAAAGGCCTTAGTCGCAGGGCTGATACCGGCAAGGAGTACACGGAAGAAGGTATTCCGGCAAAGTACATGTTCAATGGGTACTTTGTCTTTGTTCTCTTCGGTCCAGTTGGATTGTCTGGGGAAACATTGTCTTGTCTGTCAACAGATGGCTCAGGTGTTAAAAGGATGAGCCGTGCTAAGGCTAGACAGAAAGAACAGGTAGCCAGGACATCTGAAAGGGCAGGGAATGTCAGTGGTACAGAGAAGTATCATCGTGGCTTGCCGGTTAAAGACAAATTTAACTGTGCATCTTTGGCTATGTCTCAGTTGAAGGAACATAAGCGAAATGTCAGAGACTTGCTCATGCACAACAGTGCTGCTGAAGCAAATCTGTGGACTGGTTTGAAGGAGGTCAATTGTATGCTGGACAAAGCAGAGACTAGGAACGACGGCATGGAAGAGCGAATGTTGAAGAAAAGAAAGACTGACCTATTGTCCAATCTTGACAAACTCTCCAGACGCAAAGTGGAATTAGAGGCAGAGAGTGACCGGTTGATCCAAGAAAGCAAGAACTCAACTAACCCGGTGAATGCATACTATGAAGCAGTTGGAGTGTCCATGTACCGGTCTATTCCAAAAGCAGTCAATGTGGTGTCCAAGACCAGCACTACGGATGACACTTCATCCATCACCAATCAAAACGATAAGTCGCCTGTGCCAACTGGCGGTCGCACTGCCGTCATCATCAGTGCACCTGTTCGCCCTGTTCGCTTGAGCAATCTTCCAAGCCACTGTTCGCAAATGAGTCAGGACCACGATGACGACGAGGAAGAAGAAGACGAAGACGAAGTCGAGGATGTGACACCGCCACCCAATCCATGGCAGAATGATGATCAGTATCAGGAGCAGCGACCAGCTCCAATTCAGCGACCAGCTCCAATTGTTGTGGATCAAACCTTCACTGGTATGGCTTCGAGGCTACCACCAGAACAGCGGGCGATCCTGTTGCAGTTTCGCGAAAAGGAAGCTCGACAGAAGCAGCAACAACAACGCGAAGCCCAGAGGATGCGTCGTGAAAAGACACTACAGGAAATTGCCTATCAAGTTGGAAGATCAGAGAGGAATGGTGGTGGAGGAATGATGAATTATCAGGCTGGTGGGGTCTACGTTGCTTCTGCTCCTAATCCCCGCGATGGATGCTTTGTTGACAATGCTCAGCAGTATTTCGAACAAGAAGAAGAACAAGAAGAAGAACCGGAAGAGGTCTAATAATAATTAAAATAGTAGTGAAAAGAGTTTACGTGTTACTGTTCTGCTTTCGGCTTGGCCATTTGACACGGTTCTTTCTGAACATAATGTCAAAGTGTTCCACTAGACGATTTCTGAACTCGTCGTAAGCAAGTGAGTTGACAAGTACGCATCCATCAACAGAGTATCTCTGCGACAGCCCTAGCAGATGGTCATCGTCTTTGGTATTATCCATGGGTTCTTGTTCATTATCTTCGACTTCTCCTCTCTGGTGACGAAGTTCACGTTGTCTTGCTGCTTCCATGGCTGATTGTTGTTCGTGTCCCCTGCTGCCAAAGTCGCGCAACTCCTCATCAGTCAATCGCTGCAGCGCAAAGGGGGCATGTTGTCGCATATCATCCAGTTCATTCTCTCCAATCGCACCATTCCATTCATCAAGGCCATCTGACACAAGAAGCCAGTTGTGCAGTGCACAACAAGTCAACCAGATCTTGTCAGAAGACTCAGGACCATCAACTCGAATTCCTGTTTTAAGAACACGCCATCTGCCCTTGAGGATGCCAATAGTGCACTCTGCATCCTTGCGAAACGATTCGAGCCACTCACTGAATCTCTGTTCTGATCGAAGCATACTTTCTTTCGCGGGAGCTTGGGTACAAGACCACTTGTGGTAACCATTATCCACAAGGCCCCATGCACCCTTGTATCGTGTGGCCTCTAATCTCGAGGCACCCACTTCTCCTTCCCAGGAGTACAAGATAAATTCAACATCCTGGAGGATCTCGCTGTCATGGAGTGGGTTTAGGAATTCGTCAAAGTGAGCCAGTGTCTTGTCATTCCAGCGGGAAGGATGTCCTTCTGTGGAATAGAGGATTCGACGTCGGTGGTTGCATGTGATGTTGTAGGTTCTTGCTGGATGGCTCTGCTTAAATCCCATGTTGGCTTGTTTCAAGTTGTGGGCACACCTCCACATGATGACGTTGGTGGCATCAGTGGAGAATCCTGCACCGGGTAGACATCCTATGTTAAATTCTCGTTGGTGAGACAGATACTCTTGGGCTGTTGTTGGCATGGTCACATACAAAGGAAATAGAACCTTTGATCCATAGTCAATGAATGCATGGAAAAACTGTCGATGCGTCTCCTCATTTATTGCTGTGTACTCTTCCAGATCATCGAATGTCAGTCCGCGCCCAAGGTATCGAAGAGCCCCAAGCACCATGAGCTCGATTGGGGAAGTGATGTTTCCCACTGCATCCTTTGACATCCATCTCTTGAAGTAGTCGGATGCTGAGCAGGCCTCTACCAGCTTCAACCATTCAGAGTATGGCATTCTGAAGCGACGCCGAAACTTCTTATTCCATTTCGAGCATTCCAGGATTGGCGAGACCACGTACTACATCATGTACCAGAATGTCTGCCTGGGTGCCAGAGTTACTTTCTTCCCTTCTTCATCGAAGAAATATGGTTTCAGAGATTTAACACGACGTTTCCTGCTTCCTCCTGTTGCTGCAGTTGCTGCCGCTGTTGTTCCTTCTTCGTCATCTTCAGAGGCAATATTGCCCATTCCCAGTAGGTAATTGTCTTCCTTATCATCTAATGCGTCTTGTTCTCTAGCATAGTGACTGTACTTTGCGATATCAATGCTGCCATCTTGTTTAAAGCAATCTGCGAGGGCAGTGTTGTTATCACTGCCTTCGCTTCCAGTTGATTCATAGTCCATTGCAGAGGTCGCTATAATAACCAAATTCTCTTGCTGTCCCATTGCAAGCGATTTTTCCCTAAAATGAAGGGATCCCATGTGGTGGGTATATTCTTGTGGCGATAGTGAGCACGTCAGCTATGTGTTTAAGGTTAATTTAGAGATAAAATGGATGTCGGGAGGCATGACTGGGCCCCCGACATTTCGCCAAAATTTCGGGAGCAAAAAAATAGCACGAGATTTTGACTGCTGACGTGGTGGAAATGGTGGAGCCTGATTGGTTGATCAACATGTCGTGTGGCGTTGGTCGTTGCCGTTAGGGTCGGCTTAACGGGAGTTGCGATTGTGGAGGACCAAGGACAACAACCAAATCCTTCCATGGACATCTTCCTCACTCGATGGAACTCCAATGCTCTTGTCTTCCGTCTCTGGCACGCTCGCGGGAATACCTGTACTGAAAGTTAGACCTCGTTCAGAACAAAATATGGTTCCCGCACGGGAAATTCTTGTTGAACCCAGCCTTCGTCAGCAAATCCCACCCCAAATAAGTTGCGTGGATGACTTTCCCACTCCAAAATCCCTCTCCAGTGCAACAAGTTTTTCGCGACTAACTGATGTGGCAGAGTGGCAGAACTTGTGGGAGCCTCCGTGGTGGGGAAACAACACTTTGGGGGAGCTTCCAGAGGTTTTGTTTCTACGGAAGTTCTGAGAATTCTGGTCAAAGGGCCATTAGTCAACCCCACCACCCCTACCCGTGTGGCCCAATCAGAGGCACTCGGAAACAGGAATCCTGGCCAAATTCAAAAAGTCATCACATGTCATCACCCAAATTCCCTCACAATTTCAACTGATCACAAATCAAAAAGCATTCCAAAACAACCGAGAAAGCATTCCGATAACCATAATAACCATCGTCATGTCTTGCCAACTGAATATCAACCGTAGCACCAAGCAATCCACAAAGTACGCTGTGATGAAGTTATTTCTGTTCGCTTCAACTCTTATAGTAGCTTCAGATGCCTTTGAAATGGTTTCAACGCCACCCATGAAGAACTTGAAGCCTCGGATTGGCTCGAAGTTGCGCTACTCTTCGACCACTGAGGACGTCCCTCAGGCTGCAACGACCCCGGAATTTGAGTCCAAAGTAAGAAATATTCTCAAACCTCCATCATCACAATCCACGGAAGAAAAGATTCAAGGTTTGCCCAACATGAGGACTGCATCAAGAAAAGATGAGCTACGACAAGCTGTTCTGGAAAACGAAGACCGTCTGACGGTTGTGAGGTTCCATGCTCCTTACTGTGCTCAATGCAAACGCATCGAGCCAATGCTACGTAGCTTCGCAAGAAGAAATCCCGATATCCAGTTCATTGATGTGGCTTACACACAAGACAGGGCCACTCGTCAGTTGGTGCATTCACTAGGTGTTCCGTCTTTTCCATATTGCCATGTGTACCACCCTGCCTCGCTAGGTCTGGTGGAAGAACACAGCATGAACGGAAAGTTCTTTCAAGACCTTACCAAGGTCATCGAGTCCTATCAAGATGGTGGGTGTGATTTGCCGCCCAATCCCAATGACGATGGTGTCTATGGATCACCGTACAAGTCTCTGATTGCAGAGAAGGACAACAAGAACAGCAAGACCAACTAAACGCTTGTTTTGTCAAATGGAGAGTTGGACGGAAGCTCTCCTTGTTCGTTTAGTTGTACAGCACTGGCGCTTTCTGATTCTGTTACATCCAAAAAGGGCAGGTGAATGCATATGAGATATCTTTCAACACGGTACTGAATCAAGACCTCCAAGGGTCTCAATGGATTCTCATCCAATGCATTGCCTTAGCCAGGACAGAAATCAATCAAGAAAAGCTTGTACCATGGTAACTGCTGTTGCACCCGACTAGCGGTAAAAAGAATCAAATGACAATAAATATAGTCAAAAGTTTTGTTACCACACTTGTGTAGCATGCACCATGTCTACCGTGTGCTTTCTGTTGATGGCTTGAACTGCATGCAACTTGATTAGACACTGCAGACTACTCAAATCCTGAAACGATCCAGAGAATCACCCGAGAAACTAATCAACTACTGCAGCACAATCCCACATTTCCTAAGCACCAAAATAGCCCAAGCACGGATGCTTCCAATGGGCGATGAAAAAGGCAAACAACCAAACAGTTGCCACAGAGTCAAAGCCTGAGTTTATCCATTCCGCTGTTTGTTTGTAAACATACTTACTTTTAGTTCAGTCAGATTCGTGTTGGAACGAAATCTGCATGGTGCAGGATCGGGAGTAACCTTTTCCTTCCGTGAGATATCCACCCGGCAAAGCTGGTGCCGTCTCAGTCAGCCAAAACCCATATAAGATTCCGTGTTGGAAAGAAAACTGCATGGTGCGGGAGTAACCTTTTCCTTCCGTGGGATATCCACCCTTCAAACTTAGTGCCGTGGTTGGCGGCCAAGAAGGAAGCAGCTGTCCAGTGATCGCGAGGACCCTCCTTTCGCTCAGCGGTCGAATTTTGGGACTTGGAGACAACCGTGCGGTCTGTATTTTGGTGTCGCAACTCTCTACGTTGGACAAACCTTGAATGATGAATCGAGTCAACAGAAGGTACCAGAGTTGTGCCACAAAATTGTTTCAGGCTCTTCAAAGTTGTGTTCACTCGCCACAACGTTTTGGTCCTGCCGTAGAGTGCCCAAAAGATGGACAAGTCTACCGGTGACAAGCACCCGTTTGTGTGTTTTCAACAGCTCTCGTCGGCTTTTCAAAAAGCAGGTTGAGCGGTCTTTATATTGAAGGGCTCCTGCCTTTCTCTTTCTCTGTGTCTGCTACTAGTAGCTAGTAGCTAGCTAGTAGAGCTAGCTAGTGGGAAACGTACTGGATGCCTGCGTCCAGCGTATCAGTCAGTTCCATGAACTTGGTAACTGAACAGGCCTCAGCCAGTTTCAAGGCGCTCTGCTTCTTTTGGGAAGTTGATGTGTTTTAAAATTGGCAAAGTCCGGCCACTTTGCCTCCGGTCAACACACTCGTTTACTAGAAGTTTTTGCCTGCTGGAGTACTACAGTATATGTGTAGCAAACAGCGAAAGACACATGAAAGACACATGATAGTGAGACTATGTGAGCTGCGTGTTTGACATGGCCATCTACATATCGGTAGCCAGATCTGAGCCCGTGTTGGAACAGAAGTCCCCCCGCACCTCTACCGTACCGTACTAGCTACGGTAGAGGTGCGGGGGGACTAGACTAATATGATCAGCTTCGTCGTCGCCTTCCACCATCACTCCCTTAGCATACGGTACCGTATCAACGATCGGCGGCCTTCACTGTGATCGCTCCATCCCCTTGAACGAGACAACGTTGCAGCCAGGGCCAAACCATGAATCAAAGCAGATGGCAGCAGGACCAGCTGTGATCACAAACTGATCACCAAAACCTTTTAAGGTCCAGCCCTCAACTCCTGCCTCTTCCATGCTACGGTACCGGTACCGTAGCTAACAGAAGCATGAACTTCAAGGCAACAGACGGCATGGTGGGGCCTGCTGCAGCGCAAAGCAACCATCCTTCATCTCCCCGTTGAACCATCCTTCGGTCGCTCTCCCCCATCTCCACCCAGATCATGTCAAGCCAGTATTGGACTGCTAGCCAGTAGCTACCAAATAACAGGAGACAGGAGGTTTGTGAAAGCAAAATGGAGTTCTATTTCGGGGTTAAAATTATAAAGCGCAAAAATGAAAAAGAGCCGAGTCATTCCAAAACAGTGGAAGGAAGGGAAGGAGGATCATCATATTTCGATTTCCTCGCAGTATGCCTTGTCGTGCTCGAGGCACTTGGCCAGGATCTCTCGTTGGTCTTGTTTCTGCTGCCGAGCAAAGACGGCATTCCAGGCGCTCTTGCCCAGTCGTTCCAGAGCTTCTTCAAAAGGATCCATGTGGAACCGTTGAATGGTAATGGCTCGGTCTCGCTTGATGTTGCGGGTGGCGCGTTCGACTTTGGTAATCATCTCGTTGGTGTACCCCGCGTCGCGCAGGATGCAGTAGCGCTGCAGCGCTGTGAACAAGGGAGGCGTCTTGCTCTTGCCGCTGTTCACCAAGTGGTCGTAGTCATTGACGCTGTACTTGCCGGACCACTGGGGTTTCCATTCAATGGTAATCGGCACTCCGACGCTGACCGCAGGATTGTCTCCGACGCAGACGGCAAACTCGTGCACGTGAACCGATCCAAACGAAACGCCGCCTTTGCTGGGTTCTTCGGTGCTCAAGGACTTTTTCAGGCAACTTCGACGACGCTGAGGACGTTCAAAGACGCCCGAGGCATCGCGAGACGAGTAGGAATCACCAAAGCCTGTCAGATCCTCTTCTTCCGGCAGGGTCGTCTCGGCGGAGATCTTCTTGTGGAGCATGGTTCGGGTGCTGCGGCGTCTGGGCCACTTCAACAACTGTGTACTTGGAGTCTCTTCCACAGTGGTAGCGATATCAGGCTTCATCATCATGGAGCGTAGTATCCTGGCAAGATTCGAGAAGATGTGCCGTGTCAACTAACTCTTGAGCTTGAAAAATTTGTGGGTTTTTGGTGGTTTTGTGTGACTTGCCAGAAGAGAAAGGAACGGAACAACAATGTCAATGAACACACCAAAGAGCTTTTGAACATCGAGATCGCAAGCGAGCGAGGTGGTGCGAAGTCAAGCGGAAACGAACCGGCAACAGCTCCGGCAACCCACTTCCGTGCTGAAAAGTAAAAGGTGAGAATTAGGGTACTTTCTTTAAACAAGACCGGAGAGAAGTTCTTCAACTTCGGGACGAACAGAGTTAAAAGACTTCTTGAGAATGCTTCGGATCAAGGACTTGCCTTTGCTCGTGCCTCGTGCCCCACCAATCGCAGGACAATCTAAAGCTGTCTATGTCTGTCTACAGTCTACAGCACTCTGTATTATTTTTAAAAATAATACTGTACTATTAATAGTTACAGTATCTTGTTCCGAGATTTAAAGATGTCGCTAGGGTTGCACCTTGATGGGGGAAGAGTGCACTCTTAGTGGTCATCGGCGTGATATCAAAGTCTTTCTTCACTTCAAAATTCAAAACATGGAATATTGCAATTTAACTCGCTGACTTCTCAGTAGCCAAAGAAGGAGCATTGCGTCATAAGAGACGGTGAACTTCAAGGAATTTTCTGTCTCAACCATCGAATGATTTTACGATGGATAAATCAGAGCTTCCCAGTTGGACATCTGAATGAGCCAAGATGTCAAGATAACCCAACGTTGTAAATGTATAATTTCTCTCAGCTGGGGGCTGGTGGGGCTGCTCTATTGTCCATGGTTGTAATCGTCTCGGATGGGATCCAACGTGGTGGCTCTGGTTTATTATCTGCTCGAATGCGTTTGTTGCCTAGTGAAGCCCTGTATAGGATCCATTTGCCTCTACTGACATCTTGCTTTGGTGCAGTAGCCAACTTTCGGCTACTGGGATTTCACAGAAGCTGATGGCCCAATTGACAGACGAAGGAAGCACTGGAAGCGTGTAAAGAAAAGCGTTCAGCATCCTCAAAAGGCAGAGTGATTGCCCTTGACCTGCCCGAACTGCCCTGATGAGCAACGGGATGGAGCAATAGACCCGCAAACAATCCAGCTGTGCACGCCAACTTTCAAAACTATGCGAAGGCTATCATTCCGAGATCTTTTGATTGTTATGTTGATAGCTTCTTGATTGTACCGGTTACCGGTACTGGAATGCTGCTCCCTGTGAGATGGAACTGCTGGGATCTGTAAAAGCTCCAACGATCGCTGCTGTACATGTACAATGATAGCTTCTCGACACTTGCTATTATTTGCCTTGTTGCTTTGTTGCTATCGAGCAAGCGGGTTTGCTTCCTTTCTGACCGTAATAATGCTGTAAAAGCTCCAACAATTCCTGCCGTAGACTGTTGACTGTTGTGCTCGGCCACTTGTTGCTGTTGGTTTCGACAGGTTCTTTTCTTACAACGAGAGAATGGTAAACTTTATCAATCGTCGCAAGTCGCAAGGAGCTATTTGCGCACTGGAAGGAGTTGGAGCTGAAGTTGGCGCCGCAAGGTCTGGTATCATACCTGTCGAATGATCAATCTCTGGTTGTTCCTGGCTAGTCCTGCTCCTGGTTCAGAGATCAGAATCATTTCCTGGACTACCGTACTAGCTAGCCTACTTTTGTCTCTGGTCCATCTCCAGGCCCCTCTAGCTAGCTAACTACATGATCGTGTATGTAGCTGAGCGGATCCACCATTGCACTGTATCCAGGCCCCACTCCATTCTCCACCGTACAATCCCAACCCACCGCTGGCTTATACAGTATTTCACCTGGTGAGTTTTCCATGACAAGTGTGCGTCAAAAGCTCCAACATGATTGGCATCAATTTTTGAAACTGCAATCCAAAGCGCTCCTCGCTTTTGACATAATTTTAGATTTGGATACCCTTGACATGCCCAATTGCTTCCTGAGACTTCGCTGAGGCATGGCATGAAATACGGATCAAAGTAATTGGCTCATCTCTCGTTTTCGCGGATGGGAAAAGAGACGGTGGTGTCAAATATCCAAACGAGAAGAGTCGAGTCCTTGGAAATTGGATCTCCCCGAAGGAGACTCTCGTTGTGCTTTTCCTCATAAATTTCACTCTTGAGTCCTCGCATCGCTTCCATTTTGATCCCATTTCGTTATAACCCAACATGAAGGTTCACCTCTATCTTACATTTGATGGCAACTGTTCTCGGGCGTTTGACCACTACAAGGTGAGTTTCTGGGTGCGAGAAAATGGATGTCGCGCAGAGCAGAACTAAATGTATCGAGTTGGCTGCTGCTGTCTATCAGGAAGTTTTTGGGACTGATATCGAGTGCAAGATGACTTGGGGGGATAATCCACACAAGAACAAGTCCAAGGTTGCTCTCAGTGAGGAGAAGGCCAATCAGATCATGCACATGTCGATGCACCTCACGAAGAGTTTCGAGCTCATGGGCTGTGACACCCCGCCGGAAGGATCCTGTTGTGGCGAGGGTATGGGACATGAGAAGTTTGTTGTTGGAAACAACATGCAGATCAACCTCGAACCTGACTCCAAGGCTCACGCGGACAAGCTCATTGTGGCCCTCGCTTCCAAAGGCGGCAAGGTCATGAATCCAATGGAAGAAGCCTTCTGGGGCTCCTACTTTGGAATGTGCAAGGACCCGTTTGGTGTCACTTGGATGTTGAACTGCCCTCTGGAAGCCAACAAGGACGAGAAGAAAGAGGAGGACTAGATTGGCCAATGAAGCAAATGAGTGCGAGACGAATGACGAGAACCAGACGAGAACCAGACCAGGGGTAGCCAAAAGAAGAAACAAGTTTAACAGTATTTTAAAACCACAAGTTTAACAGTATTTTAAAACCACAAGTCAGTGTGTTGGTCCACAAGTTTGCCCAAACAGCCCAGAAAAAGCCCACACCCACCGAAAGCCAAGGTGTGCATGGGTGTCACTTCTATAGCCAGGTTCTGCCAGGAAGCCTCTCTGCCTCACGAATGCGTTGTTTCAGTGGAGCAAGCCAAAGTTGCGGTTGAGTGCCAATGGCTTCGAAACCCTGTGCCTGTACTCTTTGGTGCGGTTCTAGCTTTCCCTCTCTGGCAAAGTTGCTCTGGCCTTGCCGCTTCCCGCGATACTTCATCACTTCAAAGGCCCCGTAACCTTCGTACTACAGCACCGTCGCGTCGTTTGAAATATGATGCCGGTAGCAATGATGCACACCTGCTCGTATCTTTCGCAGATGACCAGAGACACGTACACCGAGACACCAGTGAACCACAAGCATGCAGAAAGCAGAACAACAACAGACCTCTGCAATCTCTTCAAGACCTCTGCAATCTCTGCCAAGGAGAAGATGAGCGATAGCAACGGGCCAGAGACGGATCCCTACCACTATCATGAGGTCCCGATCAGTGAGACTGATTTGCAAGCTCCAGTTAGATCGAGAGTGTTGCTGTCTTCCACCATGATGAGTGCAGAGATGGTACTGGCTGCAAGTGGTAGTAGTCCCAGAAGCGATGGTCATCTCCAGTCAGAGCAGCCACAACCAACGGGAAGCGCAGAGCCGCGGGATATCGGAGTGAACGGACCTTCCAGTATATCAACCTCCATCACTACTGTTCCGGAATTGGCAGCCTTGAAGAAGTTTCCTCAGGAACAGCGAGAAAACAATAAGGAAACTGCCTTGATTGCATCACCCAAGAAAAGTCTCACAGACTTCAAGTCATCGACAACGATCGTCTCGTCCATCCTGTCCAAGAAAGTGGGTGCTCTCACGAAGGAAGCAGCCAAAATGAAAAACCTGAACCTCATGGAAGCTGTTCAGGTAGTGGCTAATTATATACCCGTGGTGGGGGGTAACTCTTCCAATCTACGAGCTTCCAGGGTCAGACTGACACGACAACCCATGGACACTGTAGACGCTGATGAATTAGCAGACAGTCCATTGCATAAAGCATGTGCTTTATCAGCAACGACATCGCTCTCTTCCTCCACGAGCATACAGGGAGGAGACTTGGCTACCATCAAGCGTTTGGTGGCAGAGGATCCATCCAGATTGCATTACCAACTACCCAGCTCGGGAGATTCTCCTTTGCACATTGCCATCAAGTTTGGAGCCATGCAATGGTTGCAGATACAGGATTTTCCCGGGGGTGGTGGCACTAGCAACTTGGCCGTGGTGGAATATCTCATCAAGGCTGATATTGATTACCTTCGCCGCGAGGCTGTGAAGAAGCAAAAGGCTGCAGGCACAAGTGCACCGATTGCCCTGGGCTCTCTTATTTCAAAGACGGCACTATACAAGAGAGACTTTTGCGGAAAGGAGCTGCCCCTGCATAGTGCCGTTGTGGAAGGCTATGAAGGGGCGGTCCGGGTGCTTTTGAATGCGGACAAAGATGCTGATTATGATACAATCTTGGCCAGAGATGTCAACAGCAATCTACCTCTTCATCTTGCAGTCCACGGGGATGATATCACGTTAGTGAAGCTTCTGTTAGAGGCAGATGCAAAAAGAGAAGAAATCCATATGAAAAGACGGCAAACAGTGGGTAGACTGCGGAGAGAACCCAAGAGGTTTCCGAGCGTGATTGCACCGAATGATGCGGAGAACATCCCATTGCATCTGTCGCTGTCCTCCGTGCATAAGTTTGAAATGTGGAGGCTCTTATTGGATGCCGACGAAACAAAGGAAACGTTGCATGCCAAAAACCGGGAAGGGGTCACACCATTTCGATTCTTTGTGGATCGGCCCCTCCTTTGCAAGGACGAGGAAGAGTTTGTTGACACTCATCTAGCAGAAGCTATTCTTGACCGGTTGCTGTCTGGAAAACGGCTAGAACCATGGGATGACCACCTAAAGCGCAGCGTGGCCAAGTCAAAGAGAATGCAGGTTGCAATGAATGAAGCCGCCGCCAATCGTCTACCTGTTGTCATCTTCATTGCTGATTTGTATTCACACATAATAAGCGCGGCGATTCTCTGGGAGGGGACGCAGAACTACCTGCTGACAGATGGCGCCAGGGAGCTTCCATGGATGGGAGAAACCTTGTTCGTCCTGTGCGCTTACTACCTCATGCGAGAGCTTGTCCAACTTTACCTCACTCGGGATCTGTACTGGGCTGGTAAGTCTATGAATTGCTTGTTACGCCCATCACAACGGCATCATGATGACAGCATGCAGCTTACACATTGCCGTTTTGCTGCATCTCAGATTTTTGGAACTATACAGACATCGTCAGAATTGGACTCTTATTTGTGCTTGCCCTTATAATACACGGAAGCTACTACGATCCATACGACAAAGAAGATTCAGATGAATACCTTGTACGGAGGATGTTGCTAGCCATGGCTGTCTTTGTATACATGGGGCTGGTGTCATTCCTTAGAATTACTTATCTTCCCTTTGCACTTTTTGTTGGTGGGACTGGAGCTATTGTGAGCACCTTGATACCCTTCATGGTTACTTTCATATTGATGCTCGCTTTGTTTGCCTACGGCTGGTGGGTCGGAGGATTCAAGTCTACTTATACTGGAGAGGAACAAAGTTACTTGCAGTGGTTCTATGAGATATTTTTGTCTGCATTGAATGGCCCCGAGAGCCTTGCGACGATGGAACCCGCCTACATCCACAATGCAGGTAAGGAAATTGTATTTCTCGCCCATGGTGATAGCAGCACGCCGCTCACGTATCTCTTTTTCCTGCACCTTCCTAGCCTGGACCGTTCTTTTCATGCTTCTTGTGCAGATTTTCATGCTGAATGTGCTCATTGCAGTCGTCACGTCAGCATGGGACAAGGTTACCGAAAAGCAGACCACGGGTGAGTGAAGGAACGCCCATGACAACAGCGCCCATGATGACAACAGCATCATGATAGCAGCATGCCACTCACAAATCGCTCGTTCAAGTGTTTTGGCAATATCGGCTGGAGTATGCAGCTGGAGTTCTGCCCATCGAATACTTTTTCCGAAGATATTTAGGGAGCACGTGCGTGTACCGGTGGATTGCAAAATTGGGCGGGTTCATTGATTCGCTCGACGACAAGGGTTATCGCGACCATGTCAACTGGGACCTTTATCCCTATTCGTTGGTCATGGACGATAGTTCTCTCTACTGGGAATCGAATCAGTTTGTACAAATGGTATCAGAGGAGGTGAAGAAACAACAGAGGTCTCACAGGCCGCCGATGCTGGATGATAGTCTTAGTCCACGGAGCCACAAACGGCAGGAGGAAGTGCTGGCTGAACAGCAATCAAAGGCGTTGAAGAAATGGAAACAGATGCGATCCTTCGAAAGCGACATGAAATTCTCGAGATCATTCTTTGAACGAGTCTGCACACGACTACGGGTGATTCTCTTCTTTGTACTCTACGTTTTCTTTTTCTTTCTTGGTTTTATCACATTTGGGTTTTGGTGGCCTCGACGGGTGCGGTCGCTTTTCTGTGCCGGAGCTTTAACCAGTGATGAGGAAGATGACATTGAAGAGAAGGATTTTTCGGCATCGGCGATCTCGTTGCAACGTGCGGATGCGGATACTGCAAGTCAAGAAAGATTCGATTCTTTGGAAAACAAAGTTGACGACATGAAGCAAACCATTGAGTCCCTGCAACGGACCATTGAGCAGTTGGTCAAGCTGCAGCAATCAGCCAAAACACCTCAACCATCGAGTGAGGAATAGAACTTAGTAGCGGAATGATTGGGGAATGAAGTGGAAATGCAAGGAAATGATGACGTCGAAAAGTGCAACTGGGTGTTTTCGCGAGCACGTGATGGGCAGTGTCTGCTACTAGGGCATTGCCCAAGCAATACAATCCACTTCGAAGTGAAAGTCCAGGGGACTGGAATGTGTTACAACAGAGAAGCTATGGCTGAGAATCTACTATGTTTCAAGGCCATTCGTCAATGTTTGAGGCTTGGCTCATCCATCTGGGCTTTCAAATGACGCTAGAGGGATGGGACTTGTCAAATTCTGACCCATGGTGACCAATCCGCCGCGAGCAGAATCATAAGTGATGAACGTCTTTCATCCTCTTGTGACGTTCAGTCTATAGGCTTTGAATCGAATGAACGGTTCAATCTACATGTATGTACAGTGCACCCACCGCAGAGCAGGAATAGGATTGCATTTTCCAAAACTGCCAAGCCGGTCTCGCGGCACCGATATACTTGGTAGACGAACCATGGGTACCTCAGACGGGGCGCAAGCGAACAGTGACAGGTCAAAACATCACGTCTTTGAAGCTGCGTCCACCTCGACCGACACAAGTGGGTCCTGCTCCTTGCAAAGACACTTCGCTGAGATAGGCCCAAAACCTGGACCTTGACCACTGGGATCTACCAAACAGGCAACCAGAGTCTAGCTAGACCTAGCCCCGACACGACAACCCTCGCAAGTTCTTGCTCACCAAGCCCAGCAGAAAGATCCAATCAGCCCGCTGTGGAATAAACTAAATAAGCTGTACTGGTACCAAGCCCTTTGGCCCCCGATCCCACGGAACCTACACTAGCTAGCTACTGTCCTGGATTCCACTCTTCTTTGCCTTTTAAACTGGCCCTCGCTGGCTTCCATACATAACCTCCCCACTCTAAACTCTTAAAACTGCCCTTGCTGTCTAGCTTGTTGCGGTACCGGTGGTACCAGTACCGGTACCACCTCCCGTAAATTTCAAGTTAGAAAGCAGTAGCCACGAATGACCTCTGACTCAGTACATGCCAGTCACGAATGATACACCTCACAAAGATGACGGAGGCAACAAAGAACGTTGTTTTGTTGAGAGCTTTGGCTCCCAGCATTAAAGGTCATATATTTCGCCTTCCAATACCAAGGAAGGCAACAATGATTAGGTCTACCCGTCTTCTGCTCTTGAGCTGCAGCCTCTTGTTGCTGTTGGCGATTCCTGCAAGTGCTTTTCTTGTCCGACCATCGAGTATCGCTCCCTCCCACGAGGAAGTTTCGGCACAGTCTCATCGTCGCCATGAGGCGTCTGTAACAGTGATCCAGAAGCACGCCTCTGAAGAAGACAATGTCAGCCACGAAAGCGACGACGCCCTCGAGATTGTGCTGTTTGGTGTCGGTGATTTGCGTGTCGATGATCATGAAGGCTTGCATCGAGCACTTCGTCGGGACAACCAGGTACTGCCCCTCTTGATTTTGGACGATACCAGCCTGGCCAACATTCCTGGTGTCGTCTCTCATACCATTGACACTGCCAATATGATCACGACAGCCGTGGCTGATTTGCAACAAAGTCTGCAGAAGCAGTTTGGGTTGGACTTGCAAGTTGTTTCAGATGCAGATTCTGTGCTTCCCGCCCTAATGAAAGTCGTGCAGCAATATGCTGGTAGTGTTCGAGTTCATGTCCAAGACTTGGGCGATGCCGACAATCAAATTGGATATGGTCCCTTTTCCCAGTTACTGAAAGCCGAACTGCCGGTGGACTCCAACCTGGAAGTTGTGCCCTGGGCTTGTCACTTGCGAGAGGCGCCTTGGAAACAGGTAGACAGTCTGCCGGACCTGTACCCCGATTTTGCCCAAAAGTTTGGCGAACTCCCTTTCGAGCCTCTCGCTGCTTTGGATAGAGACTTGGAAGTAGACGGGGCGGAAGTTGCCGAGAAGGACAGACAGATTCCCACTGCAGAGGAGCTGATGGAACGAATGCAAACACTGCTCAAGCTGGACCTGGAACAAGTCAAAGCCGAAGTCAACACTGGAATCTTTCAGTCTCATTGGGGAGGGCTGGACGCCTCTACGGTTGCAGAATCCAAAGTACTGGAAAACTTGGAGACCTTTATGTCTGACTGCAACGAAGAGGATGCTGTTTGGGTCCAACACCCCACGTACCCCGCCCGAGGCTGCCCTCGCAATCGTCGCAGCTTGGAGCACGCAACATTCAACTGGATGTTAAAAGGAACAGGAGAAGAAGGACAGGTGGAAACTAACAATCTGCTAGCGGGAGAACCCATCATAAGATACTTGGCGGCACCTCTCATGCTGGGAACTGTGTCACCAAGACGAATTTGGCACTCTTCCACAAGGTCTTTTTTCCAGTTTGTCAGTCCTCTCAAAACTTTGGTGGAAGGGCGGGAATGGCACAAGCTATTGGCCGCCAAAAACATTCGGACTCGACCCGAGTACTCCAGTTCCAGTTTAAAAGAAGGCGAAACAGGCTATGGATACTGGAGGTGGCATGGCTTCTTGTGCCGATATGCGCAAACACCACTCAAGAAAACGGACGTTGAGAGCACTAAAGAAGGAGTAATGCTATTTCACGGCTTTGGAGCTTCTGGTGGCCAATGGAACAAGGCCATGAAAGAACTCTCCGACATTGTATCCAGTGAGGAGAATGCTGTCGACAACCGAATGGAAGGTCTTGCACCCGATTTGTTGGGCTTTGGACAGAGCGAAAAACCGTCTCTGTCCTACTCAATCTACGTTTGGGACTCTCAGTGTACTGACTTCGTAAAAGAGGTCGCAACCTCGAAGTGCTCATGGGACAGCTATGTTGTTGGTGGCAACTCCATCGGAGGGTTTTCAGCTGCTTCCACCGCTGCGAATGAATGCGTCTCAATAGACGGCGACTCTCTCTGTTCCTCTGGATCACCAGGAACAGGCAAATGTAAGGGAGTCGTCTTGATGAATCCTGCTGGCCCCATATACTCGGAAGACGACATCAAGGCGAAATTGGAAGCAGTTGGCGAGGGAAACAAGCCCGGGACTGTGGCACAGGCATCGGCACTGGGGGCACTCCCTCCTTGGTAGGCTATTCACTGTCGTCGTGACGTGGTGTGTCGGGTTGCTGCAGACCTCTGATATTTTTCGTTTCCTTCTCTTTGTTTCAATCAGCAAACCACCACCGCGTCCCGTCGCACGTATTTTTGGCAATGGTTTGCTCTCCTACTTGAGACCTCGCATCCAGTCAATCTGCGTGAATCTTTACCCCACAAATGGCGCGGCGGTCGACGACGCTCTATGTACAGAAATCGAACGAGACAGTCTCGATCCTGGCGCAATTAATGTGATGATATCCGGAGCAAAGTTGCCACCACCGCGTAGTATGAACGAAATGCTGCAAAGTGACTTTGGAAGTGCGACAAGCATGCAATCATCAGGTGTCGCCATCCCGGATGAAGCTTCGTTTGCTGGTCCAGTGCTTGTGGCCACCGGGGTTTTGGATCCCTTGAACGATGCAAAGGGTCGGGGTAACGGCCTGACTGCCCTTCGTGAAGGCATCGAATTCGATCCAATCAATGCGGGCCATTGCCCGCATGATGAACTTCCCAATGACGTTGCCACGAGCATTGCCAAGTGGATGACGAAAACGGTACGCCCGATGAATACTGCAAACTACAAATCGGCGTCGTCGCCAGCTGCGTTGTAAATAGCTCTATATAGCATAAAAAGACGTGTACATACTTCCAGCCGTACGAAGCAAGTCTCGATACGTAGTATCGACCGTTCCAGCTGCAAAGATGGGTTCATTTCGTTGTTTCGTTTTTTCCGGGTGGACCATGCTGATCCTCGACCTATCGTTTGTGTGTGGGGAACGAAAACATCACCCGCATCCGATTAGATCTCGTTTGCTCTCGTCGCCTCAACTAGTACTTTATGGATGGTTTTGTTTGCTCCTAAAACTCATTTCGACTTTTGTGCCATGAATCGAGTGAAAACGCAAGAAAACCTGGGAATTGATACATTACTGTAGGTTGAGATGGAGAATTCAACAATGCACTCGAATCTTTGTTTGTCGGCCTTACCTGTAGACGCTCAAAATAGCATGGGTTCTCACCGACAATAAAAGTTTTGACCACGCTTTGGGCAACAGCGACGCAACTTGTACCGGTAAAACCTTGTGGAGTTTGCACAGTTTCGTGTACTAGTGTCGAGGAGCGAAGCATTGCGACAAAGACCGATCGGAGAAATCGGGGCGACGATATGCTGCCCTCGAGTCCATAGCTACGTCGGATCGAGAAGGGGACATCGGCGACTTGGAGGCGTCCTTCCGTATAAAGGCTAATAAGCTCCATGAGGATTGGTAGGTAACTCCATTGCATGCTTGACGTCACTGGGTCTTCGAAGATAGTAGCGCAGCTGACTTTTTCACCGTTCAAATCCTGGTTTCCTTGACCTTCAGGCATACCGTTTACGACTGTGACATGTCTGTTGGTGGTACGCAACAACTGACGAGCTTGGTCCATGTCCCAGTTGGTCCTGTTGCTTGTTTGTCGATCGGAAAGGCAATGCTCCCGGCATCGGGAGTCGCCGTGGTTGTTGAAGGCGCATTCCTCGTCAAACGGACCACACCGACACGACGCCACCCACAAGGCGTCATCAATGCAGCTCTCCTTGCTCGTACAAGAATCGTTTGACCAACCGCGGCGAACGTCCACTTCGAACCATTCACCGAACTTCTCGTCATTTTCTTTCTTTTGCCATATCCGACGACGTTGATATCAAAGAGTTTTTCTTCCAGCAAATCTTGACAGGTCATCTTGAATTTCCAGCTGACCAATCGAAGGTTGCTTGTTTGCTCTTCAAAGGGAAGGAAGGCAAGAATGTTCCTTAGAAGATCATCGCTTTGCAAGACAGCAGGCAGAAGAGGTTGTGGCGGAGACGTTTTGCGACAGCAACACTGTCGGCTGAAAGCTTCAATCCGAGAGAACAGGGAGACGTTTGGGTCCGACATGTTTCAAATCAACAACCAACGCAAAGAGATCACAGAGAGGAAGGAGCTGCTGTCAACATCAAAAGCAATGACAACGACAATGACAAGCGACGAAGTGTCCATGATTTTCGCACCCACTTTTTTTAACGACTGAGTGCCCTGGCTAGTCAGGAAAAAGAAGCCCACAAAGCCGCTTTTAAACCATTTACCCCCCTCCCCTCCTGGTCTCGCGACAAACACAACGGTACCAGGTACCACTACATGTATTAGCATTTGGAAGATCGCCGTTCAAACGTTCACACTAACTGTACTCTTGGTCGAATGGCTGGTACAGGAACAACAGTGTCATAGCAAAACTTATTACTACAATATGCCTACTAAGGTCCTTTCATCCAAATCGGACCAGTCCATTCTTCTAACTTTTCCAATCAAACGACTCAGTCTCTCCATTGCAATCTCCAACACTTCGCAGGATACCCAGGCATAACATATGCGAAAGTTCTGAAATCAGGGAGAAATTGAGGTGAGTGCGACATCAATGAATCTACGCTTCTTGCACATAAATTTGTTGCGGAATGTTGGCTACAGGTACTTACCCCAGGCGTCCGCTCTTTCATGGTTTCTCCCGGCGTCAAAACAATACGAGCATGTGTAAACATGAGCTCGCTCAATTTGCGTTCCCATTCAAATGTCTTTTGTGGCAGCAAGGAGGAAAAGTCCACATAGACAAAGAGTCCTGCTTCGGCCGGGACAAAGGGGACCACCATTTCTTCCAATTTCAACACGCAAATCTCGTAGCTTCGTCGTAACCGTTCTTGTGATTCTTCCAAAAATTGATCAATAAAGGCGTCATCCGTCAAGAGTTCCGAGACGACATACTGAATGGGTCCACTGACACAGCTAAAAATGCTGATATTGCTGGCCAGCAGTGCTCTCATAAAGTTTTCATTTTGAGAATAGAGGACTCCCACCCGCAGGCCCGATGCCCCAAAGTCTTTGGAAAGAGCCCAAACCATGTGAACATCGTTTCCCAGTTCATTGTTGAGCACTTTAATGACCGACTGAAAGGATCCATCATGGTTGTTGTTGCTATTCCCTTGGAGGCCGGATAGATTGTGGTGTGGTGGATAGGAGGACTGGGAGCCTCGTTGCGTATGTTGTTGTTGCTTGGAAGATGATATATGTTGTTGCTGTTGTCCAAAGGGGTTTGCCCCATGTGTCGAAAGAGCATGTATTTCATCGACAATGGTGTGAAGGTTTCGTTTGCGAGCCCATTGTATGGTATCTCGTAATACCTGTGGTTTGTACACCACTCCAAGTGGATTGTTGGGATTTGTCAAAAGCACAAATCTAGGTGTCAAACCCTTGGACATGGCTTCAATATAAGCCAAGTTGAGATCTTGTTCGGTAGGTCCCAGTGTCGCATTGGCCATTTGGAATCCAAAGGGTTCAATCCCCGCCAATGATTTCATGTCGGAATCAAAGGCTGCATAGTAGGGTGCTGGTATCAAACAACATTCTCCCTGTTCTCCTAAAATAAAAAAGAGATAATGCAACACGGCGGCACATCCACTGGCCATGGCGACATGATGGGGTTGAATGTGCTGCAATGCCACTTCGGGTTCTACTACATCATCCGAAAGCAAGAATCGTTTGGCCAAAAAGTAGGCAACGGCATCCCGTGCAACGGGCAATCCCAAAAAGCTATTGTAGCAATATACGGTCGAATCGGAAAATGCTGCCGTGGCCGTTCCAATTTGCATGAGTCGTTCGGCCAGGACATCCAAGATGAGTTTGTTTTCGGCCACACACATTCCAATGTGACCCGTGGGATTGCGAATGTGATCGCAGGCATTCTGATCGAGATAGTACAAGAGTAAGGAAGAAAGTATGGGAGTAGAAGCATTCATGAGTGAGGGAATGAAAAGTGAGAAAGCCGATCTAGACCCTAGTAGGGTAGCTTGTACCCATACATGACTCCAGGGTCGACAAATAAAACTTACATGCAGGCAATACATGAAATCCTCTAGGTATGCCACACGTGGAGTGTCCAATGCCACGAGTCCTCGGCTTCCAATGGCCCCCTCTGCGACGGATCCTTGATTGGCAGCATTATTTTGGTGGGTTCTACTATTTCCCGTGGCACCACCACCATGGGATGGGATGTTTTTTCGGGCACCCCAGAGTCCCAGTTCTCTCCGTTGTCGTTCGGTCCTTGTAAACCACCGTGCCGTAAATACAAACAGACCCACAGATACAATTAACGAGACTGTGTCCACCGACAAGGTTTTCTTGGATGGGGATGACATTGCTCTTATAAATAAAGGTTGGGGGTAGCCGATCCTTGCAGCTTGGAAATTCAATATACCTCGAGGTTCCTGACAGGCTGGTTGGATAATGAGGCTAAACCGATGCTTTATCTATCAAAATACAGCTCCTTGGTTGCCTCGTTCATTGCTGTGGTAATAGGTGTCAACAATCGACCTGCATTTCTCAACGCGTCGATCCAGGTTGTGCCTTTTCATCGTTGCGTTGGAAAGCATCATTGATGGCTGAATTCGGGTGATGGCAAGGCTAAGGTTGTTAATTCCTTGAATCGCAATAGCTTTGGGAATCTTGGAAAATCTTTTGGCCCTCATTTTTTCTCACATGTTGTGCTGGCAATCAACTCCGACGACTGCTTGCCACCACACCCACCCGCCTTCCCAGCAACGGATCGATCGATGGGCGAATATCATTGTTTATGTTTAGTATAATTGGAGATGAACAAGACAACGTTTCCCAAGTCCTGCCATGCCCACTGGGACTGCTCCAAAGGAGCTTCGGCTTTCAGCTTATTAGAAGCGTGTCTCGATGCATGGGTATCCTGGCAATCCAAAATCACCAAAAACGATGGAACCATGTTTCTCGAAGAAGAGGCGCTCCAGGATCTGACTGCCATGCTACAAACGATTGCTCCCTCGGATCAAGCCATTCATGTTGTAGTGGAGAAGAGCTCTACTACTACACGCAGTGGCATGAAGGATGGTGGTGATTGCAAATCTTGGTTTGATTTTATTATTTTTACGGATGATAATGATGATGATGATAACAGTGCTGGTCCAGACCTTTCTTTGGAAAAGGCACGGTCTACCTTGGAGACCAGTCGATTGCCAGAACGAATTCAAAAACAAGCTTTGGCCGTGGTGGGACTGCGAGAAAAGGCCAACTTCCAGCACAGGACACCAAAACACAGTCAGTCAGGTACAAGACAAGAAGAGGAATCCAACTTTTTATTCCTGCTCGTGGGGATACTACATCTGTGGGAAAAATTGCCCATTGTGATGGGCCAATCTTCGACGGCGGTATCTCTGAGCCCGCTTCCTTGCGAGGATGCTGATGGTGAAACACTCCAATTACTTATTGGATTACCCACAAATCCACAAGGGAAAGGACTGGTCACCCCCACGGCAGTGGCCATTTTGAATACCCTTTGTCCTTCAACATCACCACCAGCTCTAAACCCGACAATGACATTGCAAGCGGTTGGCATGGGGGCGGTGGATTCTTCCAACTTTGTCCGCCTTTTGTTGGGCCCAATGATTCATCGGCAGCCTAGTAGTACTCAAGCAACAGTCGCGGCAGAAGAAACCACATTGCCATGGAAACAAGATTCTCTGATTCACATGGAATCCAATCTAGATGACATTACCGCCGAATCATTGGCATTTGCCATTGAACTGTTGCTGAAGAATCAAGCTGTGGATGCCTGGGTCACACCGATTGTCATGAAAAAGGGACGTTCCGCTCATACGCTGCATTGTCTGTGCCGCAGTGAAGCACAATCCCTCCCGAGCTTACGGCGCGGCAGTAGCGACAATACGACGACGACAACGCCCGCGTGGGAAAAGCTCCTACAGCTAATGTTCCGACACACGACAACCCTGGGGGTGCGGATCCAACGGGATGTGGAACGCATTGCCTTGCATCGGTCGGTCGTCACGGCGCAAACATCCTACGTCGACACCAGTCGAGAAGGCCAAGTCGACGTCAAGATTGGGTACATGGGTGGACCCAACCATAATAATACCAATGTCGTCTCGGTCAAGGCCGAGTTTGATCACTGTCGGGATATCTCGCTAGAGACGGGTATTCCGATTCAACAAGTGGCAGCCGAAGCGGTCCATATTGCCTACACCAATATTAATAAGATGGATGCTGGAGCATGATGCATGCAAGGAGCTGGCCAACAGCCACAACACCCAATGCCCCCTTGTATGCTGGTGGCAAATACTGAAGAATGGTATGCCGTATTCTCTGTGTGGCGTGCTTTTCAATGGCCTGTTTGGTGAAGCGTTTCTCTACTCATGTATGGGCTTGCGGCTTGGCATGACTCTTCTTTACTGCCCTTGATTTCCGAAACAGATCTACCCTTGTTAGATGCTCCTGCTGAGGCTGGATTCTTTCCAACCTTTGCCAAGATCCCAAAGCTTGCTTGGTTATCGCCACACCACGCCTATACGTAGTAATGGGGATCTGAAAGACAGATTTTTTAAAGATATAGCTTTGGAAAGTAAAAGTCACATCTACCAGTTTATAAATATGCATGTATCAAAATGAAAGAGGTCGGGGTGCAGGGGAGTGCACCGTACTGTACGTGGTTTGGGTTGTTGGTTGTTGTGTGTCGGTTTAGTAGTTGAAGTCGCTCTAGCTAAGCGCCACTAGTAGCCGTGTGATATGTCTCTTATGAAACTTGCATCAGCATTCTCTCTCCTCCACCGCCATCGTCGTTGTTCCAAAAGTTGCCATTTTTCAAGTTTTCCATGTACTCTTCTCGCATGCAGTTGCATTCATAGTCCTGGAAGTTTTGCGTGTAGTATCCGCAGACATCTCTCAGCTCTTCATTGATGGGTACGTTGCCCGAGTACATAATGTCAATGCAGGGGATGAAGAATCCCAGCGTGAGTCCCATGCCCACCAGGAACCAGACGAGTCTGAGGCAGTAGCTTTCCATGTGGATACTAAAGCACATGAATCCGACAAAGAGGCCAGCCATCAAGCCTCCCAAGTGAGCTGCCCAGTCGACTGTACGAGTAAAAATGGAGAGTGTGAGTGCATTGGATAGTTGGAAACCACTCTTCCATCGAGCCAACTGTACTGGTCGTTACGTTACGTACCGTAAGGGATAAAGGAAAAGGCCAAGACGACCAGGACACTGCACGTGACTCCCATGCACTGTTCCTTTCGTACTTGATGTGCCACCCGTTCCTGTGCCGTGTCACTCTTTTCACAACACCGACAGGCGACTTCGGCAATCTTTCCCCCAAAGAGCCCCATGACGGCTCCGCTGCTTCCGACACTGACGGCATCGGGCATGGTAATGACACTGAGCACGGAACTCCCCAGGGCACTGGTGAGGTAAATGATGAGCCACGTCAAGCTCCCCCACTCACGTTCAAAAAAGACTCCCAACTCGAGTTGAACAGCCACATTACAGAACAAGTGAATGAGCCCGGCATGCAACAGAATGGGTGTGAATAATCTCCACCATTCGCCGTCTTCTACAATGAGAATGGAATTCTTGCCACCCCATTCAGAGAGAGCGTCGGGGTAGGGTCCAAACATGGGGTTGATATTCATGGGAGCAATACCACACTGCCACATCATGAGTGCGAGGACAATGACTTGGACAACACCAAAGATGATACTAAAGTATCCAAACCGTTGTTTGACAATGTAGACTTCTTCTGATTCATCTACATTTTTGTTTTGTGCGCCCGTATTAGGCCCCCCACCAAAGAAGGAAGATTGTTTGGTGTTTTGGTCTTGTTGTGATGACGATTGCTGCTGTTTTTTTTGTCCTTCCTCATCATTCTCAAAAACGTCTGCCTTGTTGACACATAGGTCATCGGCACATCCCACAATGCCATCATCGACTTCCTGATAATTGGTCGCTCCATAGAGGTCATCATAGAGTCGCTCTTGACGTGATTTGTTTTTCCGTTTGGAGGATTTGCGTTTGGGTCTTCCAAAGAGTCCCAATCCTTCCATTTTTTCGCCACTGTCCACGGCACGCAGCTTTTTCTTGCTCGAGTTGGCAGTGGCGTCTTCGTCTGCTGCTCCTGTGCGACTCTTGCTACGGCTTTTGCTGCGACGTGACGACGTCGACCGTCGACTTTTCCGTCGTTCTTCCTCGTCTTCGTCGGGATCGGCATAGTTACCCACGGCATTGTTTTCCTGGTACTCTTCCACGTCCGTCTTGATGCTGCGTTTGCTGCGAGGCTTATCTTTAGAGCGACGACTGCTGCGAGGACTACTGGTAGTATCGCGAGGACTCCGGCGACGCTCCACAGCATCTTCTTGATAGAGATTGTCCTCTCCGCCGTCGTTTGCGGCGTAGTAACTCATGGTGACTTATTGACTGACTAACAAACTGTACAGGGAGCTACCGCTTGGGTCTTGTGAGGGTAGTGTCCGTAGTCCAGATAATGGGGTTGGTTGGGTATATACCCAAATCAATATCTAGCTAGCTACAACTGGGGAGAGCGGATAATAGAGAGAGGATGGGAGAGACTGCCAACTCGATCGCTTGATTGAGCAGCAAACAAACAACAACAACAAGCCTCAACAAAATGGAAGAGTCGTTGTTGGGATGGTTGTTGCCTTCGTTGCTACGGGTAACAATCTCAACTGCCAAACGAAAAGTGAGGGGGAGCGCCGAGGCACCATGTTCAACTGACTGAACCACCCGGAAACGCATGCTACTTAGAGCAACGGAACCATTGGGCGATGCGCGTAGGGTTTTCACTTAGCAAAGAGTTGGCATGATAGCCGATGGTGTTGGCTCAGCGATTGTGACCTGCGTGACACAAAAGTCCGTCAGTGTTCTCTCAAACAATGGAGGGACATGTTAGGTCGTTTGACCTCGCGGAATGCTTTCGAAGGTGCGCTCCCGTTTCTCCAACTCGCACTCGGAAGAGCTCTCGGGATGATAGTGCCTCCGAAGTACTGAGTATCATTCAGTAGCCACTCGCCACCACTGTACCGTTGTGGCAGGGTAGATTTTGCCTCCATGAGCCAGATACATGTACTATGGTAGTTAGCTGAATGCTTTGGTCGGTGCGCCCTACCAGACATCATAATGATAGCTGGCTAGTGCCAGGTTTCCTCCTCACCCGGAAGGCACTACACGGGCAAAGGATTCGGTACCGTACACTTACTCTTCCAGCACGATGACATGGCTGCGCCACCGGTACAAGCGCCGGTGCAACCGACAAGGTATCTGCACCACAGTGCCAAATGCTGCTGCTGCTGCTTTCTTGGAGCACAGCCTGAGATCTCGGGAGCCTGTGGATACCATTGGTTTCATGCCTGTTGATCGTTGGCCCTGGCTCCTTATCAACCTAGGAATGACGCTTTCCCGTGGATTCAGCAACAAAGATGACCAGCCGGTACCTCGGTCCTCATGCCCATGCAAGAGCCATCAAGCTCCAGCAATGCGGATACATGCTAGAGCCGCTATGATCCTCCACAAGAGGTCCACTCACAGCCCAGTAGCAAGATTGGGGCAGGTCTGCACCCCGGCAGGAACAAAGGTTTAACGTCCGTGCAAATATTTAATCATCACATTCTAGTCCTACATCAGTGATAATGCATCGATTCAAGACAGTGGTGGTATTTGTGATTTGGACAGACCCATCAGGTCCAACTAAAACATCCACCATCAATTCAGAGAAAGCATCATTGCCAAATGAAAAGAGGACTGTTTCATTGGCTGCAGTCAGTGAAATCCAACCTGGGTACATACCGGGTTCCAACTCACTGGAATCTCCATCATCAGAAATGCCATTACCAAAAAGATCAGATACAACAAGCTGATACGCCGTGTTTGGGGTGACATCAAGAAGGAAGGAGTTCAGGGAATACTGACCAAAAGGAATCCTGCTCGATCCTTCCAGTTGGTTCCAAACGCCAAACACACTTGTTTTCTCCTGCCAGCCCCAAGAAATTGCAGCGGCTTGCGCATCAAGTTGCATGTTGAGCACAATGTTGTTGGTACATCGTTCCAAACACATGGGTGGAAACCTTCCTGGCCAGGCTGGGAATGTCTGCAGGTCCACACAGGTCGACACAGGAGAAGTATAGTTTGTGGAACAATAATCGCACCACAGAAAAGAACAAAGGTGTTCTGGAACTATCCCTGAGAATTCATTCCCATCAAGTCTGAGATTGGCAATACCAGAGGAATTCAGTTCCTGCGGAAGAGTTCCTGTGAGGGAGTTGTTTTGAAGCAACAAGGTGTGCCATGATATGGAGCCAATCTCACTCGGGAGTGTTCCGGTCAAATGATTGCTGGAAAGATCAAGCGTCAACAGTAAGGTCGACAACCCAATGTCACTTGGTAACGATCCACCAAAGAAGTTTTCAGATCCAAGAAGCGTCCTCAAATTGGTCAGAGACCCGAAATTTGCAGGAATCTGACCTGTTAGTTCATTTTCATAAAAAGAGAGCCGATACAAAGAAAACAGCTGTCCCAGTTCTGTAGGCAGCTGTCCAGTGAGCTGATTTCGCTCTACCCAGATACCACCTAAACCCGTAGCAACCTCACTCATAGATGATATCAATCCAAACTCTGATGGGATCTTCCCTTTGAACTGATTATGGCCTAGATCAAACTTTTTCAAAAAGCTTAGCTGTCCAAACTCTGTGGCAATTTGACCTGTCAAACCATTAGCACCCATTAAAAGATCTTTCAAAGAGGACAACCGCCAAATTTCTGTTGGGAGCTGGCCAGTAAGCAGATTGTAATGAAGAGCTAATCTTGTCAAAGCCGACAGTAGTCCCATTTCGGTAGGAATCGGACCTGACAATTCGTTTGATTCCAAATCAATTTGGTCCAAAGCAGTCATCTGCCCGACATCTGATGGAATCTGGCCTGTGAACTGATTGACAACCAATCGAAGATCAACCAAAGCATCAAGCATAGCAAACTCTGTCGCAATTGTGCCAGTGAGCTGATTTCCGAGCAAATCCAATTCCACTAAGGAAGTCATTTTGTAGAATGCTGTAGGAATGCTGCCTTGCAGCTGATCCCTGGAAAATATCAAAGAAGTCAAGGAAGACATTTCATAGAATGCAGTTGGTAGCATATCAGACAATGTCATTGCAATATCAATATTTTCCAAAGCAAAGCGGGACAGGGACGTCAAGAGTTCAATCTCGGGCGGAACCACAGGTGTCAAACCCGCTGAAAGGTGGAGGCCTGATAGCCAAAGAGAGGTGAATTTCCCATGGCCATCACATGAATCAACTCTTGAGGAGTCTGGTATTGGACGGTAGACGCTGAACGAAAAAACCCCAAATCCACTGGAGAACCACTCGCACTCCCCCTTTCTTTCATCCATCCATCGCTCCTTTATGAGAGGGTTCCAATTTTCTCCCTCGAAAGCATAAAAGAACGTAGAAAGGGCAAAGAGTTGCATTTTTCTCCACTCTGGAAGAAATGTGACGTTTTGATGATTGGCAAGCCAATTCCATGCTTTCCATTGGGGGGTTTCACTGCCATCGTTGATGCTGGCCAAGGTGTACTCTGGTAGGTTATCCAAAAGCCAATCAAGAACGCCTGTAGGGGCGGACGTTGGCACTTTGGAAGGTTCCATGGAACCATAGGCAGTGGGTGTCTCTGTGGAACTGATAACATCTGGCTCTTTTTGTTTCTGGGTTCCAACCACAAACCCCACAATAATGGCCACAGCAAGTAGCAACCACATCAATGCGGCAATTCCGAATTGCTGTTGACTCTTCTGTTCTTGTTGCCGACGCTGGGCGGCTTCCAGATCGACTGGATTGGCATGCATCAAGTTGCCAGTGTCGTCATCTTCTACAGGATTTGCTTGTGCCAGTTGTGCACCACTACAAACGGTACTGTGCACAATTCGGGGCATTTCCATGGGTCTAGAAGTGTCCCTACCAGCATTGACCAGGTCATAGTTCAGAGTTGTTGTGCGTTGCAAATCTTCTCCAGGTGCTCCCATGTACGCTCCAGGACGAGATACCTGCTGTCGTTGTCTCCCATCCCTCAGCAATATCAAGGGCTCTGCCACTGTAGAAGCTGCCACAGTGGCTGCCTCACAGTCAAATGGTCCAGGTGTTTCCTCTTGTTTGGCAGGCGAGAGGGTCTCCTTTAAAATGTCATCTTTCTCTAGAGTGGAGTCTAACGTTTTTGGTTTAGAGGCAACATTGTCAGTCGCCGTTGGTTTGGCATTATCAAGAATATCCATCTTGGAAACTTTGTTGTTGGTGTCATGATCAACACCCGTCGTCTCCTCCTGTGTTGCTGCTTTTGCCATTGCCTTGGTCTCTTCTTGTGCATCATGCTCATGGTCTTCTACTATTTCCTTTTCCATCCTCCTTGTTGCTGTCGATATGAGCTTCGTCGGGTGCTATGCAGCTATCCCTGTGGTTGAAGTGTATATAGCACTCCATCCTACAGTACCTGAGGAGCCCCTGCGATTCGGTAATAGAGCATTGCAATTGGGTGAGTTGCCGGTTGGACAATGGCATCATTGACGCCGACGCATGTGAATCGAATTGAATCTCAAGGATGAGGTTGGAAGAAGCCGTGACGTGGTGTCAAAATCATGCACGATTCAGTGAGGGCAAAACCTCATTTTGTTTTCTGTCCTGTCCTGTTTCTGGTTGTCTCTTCCTTTTTACAACCTACCCAATTGTATCCGATGGTATCGCACTGTATGGAAACTACAGCTGTGGCAAGCAGAGTTTGTGTAGGGAGGTAGCTAGCCATGAAGTTCTGGACGGCGGACTCGGAGGATCTTGTGGTGGACATGGTGGAGTGTGAAGTGTGCCAGCGCTGGATCCCCTCGAAAAACGCGGCCATTCACAGTCTCTATCATGCACATCAGCCAATACGAATCCAAACGGATGATAATGGCGACAGCGGCCTTCCTTCCTTCGTCATGCAGACCATTCCTTGCGAGGATTGTAGGGTGTTAGTTCCCAGAGGTAACTGGGAAATTCATCGAGCTCATGTCTGTCGAGGGAGACAACAAGCGGGACAAGTTTACAATAACCATCCTGCCCAAGAAGAACAAGAGGAACCACAGTCGCCCAATGACAATCCACCCGTAGTCGTGACAATGGAGACAGTGGAATGCTCCGCCTGTGGCATCCTGGTTCCCATTCACAACTTGGAATTGCACGAGACGCGAGCTTGCTCGGCGCTCCATACAGTACCACCGACGGGAACTGCTAATTTGGACACGACGTCAGATACGAATGGTGGCTGCAGCTTCCCTTTAATTGATGACAAGGACGAAGAAGTAGAAGGATGGAAATGTCCCCGTTGTACTTTTCAGAACAACAACACCACAGCCAATCAAGAAAAATGTTCCATGTGCGAGTACCAGCTAGTATCAGCGACAGAAAGTAGTAACCACAATCCGCAGAAAGATTCACCGCCATCCGAAGAATCCGAAAAAGAGGGATGGATGTTTTGGAAAAGCGTGGTCAAGGATTGGGTCCCGGTGGAGTATCATCAGCTCCTGCCGGAACATCTAGTGCCAGAACGCGAAAGAAAGAAACGAAAGAAAAAGAGAGGCAAGAGACTGCCACGACAAAATAATAGTTCGGAACCTCCTCCTTCTCGCCAAGAAATACGACAGTGTCGTTCCGTCTATTTGGATTGGCTGGAGAGGGAACGGCGGCAGTACGTGCAATTGTTGGAGACAACTCGTCAACAGTATCTTTGCTTGAAGCAGCAGCAGCAGCAGCAGCAGCAGCAGCAGCAGGAACCCTCTCATGAGGACGAGCCAATGGAACGATTGAGAAAGCCTTCAGATGACGACAAAGACGAAGCATCCAGACTGCCACAATCCATCACGCCCCCAACCCAGTTAGAGTTACTGCAAGCCACGGAACAGCTGTGCCTGCACCATTTGGAATATCTTCGAAGGACACGTGTGATTCAACAATTGAAACAGGATATTGAGCTCTTGGGACTTCCTCGTTGGAAACATCATTTACACCATTTGCTCGACTTGTACCAATCCGCCTCCGAACTGTACGTGGACAATATCATCTGGGAGCTACGCATGCAGTTCATGCGGTACGCCGTGCTGGAAATCATGGCCATGTTGGAATTGGCCATTTGGAGCGCACAGATTCAATCCATGGTGGCGAGCCTGGGGCAACCCATGGATGGCGGGGAAGCAAGGAGGGCGTGTCGAAACAGTCGTGATATCAGTATCATTTGCCAGTCGGTCATGCCATTCTTGGGACGACCACAAACTCCAGCGTTGCGTGGACTGTAAGAACAGAATACTAGCTAGATAACCAGATTGTGTTAATTGCTGGTGCAAAAGAAGTTGCTGGTGCTAGCTTGCTACAAGGGGGAGTGGACAAGAGTTGAGAGACATACGAAACTGGCTCTGGAAGACCTCAAGAGAAAGAAGGAAGGCACTACTGTACATGTTACATACAGATTCGATTCGAACATGCAGATTCGATTCGAACATCAGTTTGAGACTTTGCTTGAAGCCACAGAGACAATGACATTGGAACAATAACACAATGACGCCCACAATCCATTTTAGAACAATCGATTTGGTGGAAAAGGGGATGCCATGAAGGGGGCACTTGCCAAAAGAGTGCCTACCAAGCTAGTATGGGAGGGGAGAACACTTCAGGCTGTCTTGCGAACGATGCCGAAAATTCTTAGTTTTTGCTTACGCCGTGGTACCGGTACTTCAGGGGGGGTTAGAGCGATCAATCGTTTGATGGGTCAATACTGGTAGAGCTCAAACGAGCAGCGAGCTCAAAGAGCTCGGCTTGTCGGTTTGCCTGGCCCTCCAAAGAGCTAAGGGAAGAAAGTCATATGTTTTGGTTTGTAGTTAATTAGCTTGGAATAATACTCTTATTTCCGTCACATGCAAATTCTTGTAGATGCTCTAGCTACATGCTGTATAGGTCGGTGAGGTCGGGATCATTGTCGAGAGAGTGCGCAATCTCATTGAGCAACGAGTCATGGACGTGAGCTTCCTGTTCCATGAAACTGGGATTCACCACCTTGTCGTCTTTTTCGGCCACGATATTGGCAAGATCTGGATCATTCTCAATGGCATGAGCGACTTCGGCAAACAACGAATCGTGACGGTGCGCTTCCTTATCGATAAATGCCTTTTGAGCTTCCTTGCTGGGCTCCACCAATCCAGCCAAGTAGGCATCGGATTCCAGAGAATGTTCCACTTGGTGGATCCGTTTCGCTTCCTCCGCCCATTCGTGATGTGCTTCATCGAGATCTTTCACCATGCGTGTATCGTCCTTTTCCTCCACCAAGTCTTCCAAAACCGAGTCCAGGCCCTGCACCATTTTTGAGAGGATGGGGTGGCCGTCATTATTGCTCTTCGCCATTTGCAAGGTCAACGAACGCTGATTGGGAGGCGCCACCAGGAATGACTCGGCCAAGGGTGCTGCTGCCAAAAGGAGGATGGATGTCTTCATTGTTGCTTCTTCTTGGGGAACTATAGTGACTACAAAAGTTTGGCTTTGTGTTGTATTGATTGTGAGGAAAAGCACCAAAAAAGATCTTTGGGGTCTCACGGGTTCTCACTTCGCTTTTGATGGGATTGTTCCTTACGATCGCGAACAGCAGCTGCACCGGATCAAAAGATATCAACCTGAGCCCTAACAGAAACAAGGTGTCTAAAGCTGTTTCGGATCCATGTTTCAGACATCACAAAGCGGCACAGCGCACCATGCAATGGTCCTTCGAGACGGGATCCTGGATCCGAGGTGCGCCAATGGTCGCATTTAATTTATTTTCAAGTTGTGGCTCGTGAACATGGAAGATGGAAGTTGAAGAGTTGAGCATGCACTTCCAATTTCCAGGATGAGACAAATTATATTGGTGGGTACTCTGCTGAAGTTGGCAAGATGATGCAATCTTGCGGTATTCCTTGCCCATCAGTCCTTCTGATACTCTCGCTCTTTGTGGCATTGTTGTCTGTTGTGGTTGCTCAAGCAATAGATGTGAACTTTGAAGAGTGCAGGATCAGTGCCACTGAAACATGTGCACTTTCCAGTCTGAGCTTTGGCAAGACAAAGATTTATCCAGGAGGAAACACTCGATGCTACACGGAGGAGTACGAATACTGGTTTCAAGTGGACAAACCAACTGTTCCAGATGGTCAAGATTATGACAACAACAGTCCCGATGACACGTACTTTTCCAACCATCCTGGTCTACTCCTGTATTTTGAAGGTGGAGGAACCTGTTGGAGCACGGATTCTTGCCCCCCGTTGGCGGTTCCTTTCCCCTTTAATCGAACCAACAGCTTTTTCAACCGATCCTATGCCCTCAATCCGTACCAAACTTGGACCACTGTGATCGTTACGTACTGCACTGGAGATCTATTTGTGGGTGATGCCGTGACATCGGATGGGAGAACCTACTTTAACGGGATAAATAACACCAAGGCTGTGTTGAAATGGGTTGCCGACAATGTGGGCAATACAGCAACGGAAGCCAACCCTATTTTCCCTGCCAAGATTGTCTTCCATGGACTTTCCGCTGGGTCCATTGGAATCGTTGCTTGGCAGAGAGTGTTGTTCCAATGGAGAAATCAGGCATTTCAGGACTATCCAATCAAACCAACAACAACCGTTTTCTTTGATGCCTTTGAGGGGCTGGTCAAGTTGGAAATCCAACAACTTACATTTGATGCTTGGGATTTTTGCAGCAATACAGACTTGCTCTTCACTCCAGAAGAAATTCAGCTATGCAAGCAAGGGGAAACTGATCTTCTGAGGTATAGTCACCTGTATCTGATCGAGAACTACCGGGATATTCTGGTTGCTCACATTACAAGTAAGGGGGATCTCACACAGTACATGACTTACTGTGGTGGGGGATTGTCAAATATTGAAACCTTGGACCCAATCCTTCCCGATACATCTCTGTTGTTGGATCTTGGTTTCCTCTTTGGAGAGGCCATTCCAAGCTTCAGTGGCTCGGAAGTGGCCGAACTGTTAGGTTGCTGTCAAGCTGATTTCTATCAAACCATGATTGATCGATTCCAAGAGTACCATGCCCTCGCAGCCAAACAAGGACAGAACAATGTCGTGTCATACCTAATGAATGGAAACGGTCATGCCTGGTCAGCGGTTCTTTATTTCTATGAAATCTCCTCAACCACAAGGAATAGTACCAGGCTCGGTATTGATATCAAAGGAGGTCAGCCAGGTCTTGCAGAATGGATCTATTCCATTGTCAATAGAGTGGATGGAGACGAAATACATTCCGTTTGCTCTCCAGGGTTTGGGTTTGGTACAATCCCTGATGTTTGGCCGTGGCCTTTTGGAAATTACCGCTGCGACGATGAAGTGTCATCACAGTCTTTTGCTGTTACAGACTTTTGAGGAAATCACATGGTCTAGTAGGGATCCGATGTATGTTTTGAAGGAGGCAGCACTTAATACACATCAAGGATCCATGGCATGCTGACCAATGGTTCACCAGATAGACATCTATCAACACAAAAGATCACAATGAAACATCCAAAATGTAGAGATGGGGCACTGTCAACGTTGTTGAACCAACTTTAAGTACTTAATGCCTGGGCTTTGGATTATAGTTGTTGTATTGACTGGGGTCGATGTAGACAGCGATGAATCCATGACAAGTTAGCCGGCTGCAGCCTGACACTCCACTTCAATCCTCTCTGACCACACTGATGTCCATTAATTCGCAGTGTCCTCATGGCAAAAACTAAGGGCTTCTTCCATTGCGATTCCCTTTTCATCGCCAGCATCACAAAGCTGGGATACTGGTACCGGTTCTAGTAGTACATTTCACTTGCCAGTGGTGCAAACGAACTCCCCGTCTACGCGTGCAGTTGTAATCCTCACCAAGACCGGTACCTTGGGTTGAACTCTGTGTTCAATTTCCTGGAATTGGTGCGGGCAGGGATCTCAAGGCTTCACCTGAGAGGTGGTACCCAGCTGGTAGCATGTGTCAGCTAGAATAGTGCTCTCGTTGAGGCAGGTTGAGACCCAGAGCAATGTTTGGCCAGATACCGGACGTACCAGATGGCCCATCGCCCCGCCTATCCTATATCTGCTCGGAGACCAGGCGGCAGGTTCCTTTTGGTTTCAACGTGTAATCTGAGTGCTGGCTTCTAGTCGATATAGAGGAGCATTACGACTCGTCGAGTTCGCGTTCTCATGGGCCTCGATCCTCGGTCCAAAAGCAATACACGGTAGCGGTACGTACCGGTACAGTACCAATACACGTGGGTCATCAAAAGATACGAATCTATCTTTTTGGTGAGAAGGCAATGTTGCCCTGATAGCTAGCTAGTTTTGGCCTATCCAAAATATTTCCTTGCGGATTCAGATAGCGATCCTGTGGAGACGATGATGCGTCTGTTCTTTTTTATTGTCTGCCTTGTTGGAGCGGTGGCTGTCAAGGAGGCTTCCCATAGTCATCTTCGCTCCATTACGAAAAGTGCAGCCGACCAGCTGATCATATCGGGCGAGCTGAATGGTGCCGAGAAGGACGACGAGGAAAAGCAACGATTCCTCGAATCTGCCGACAAACGCAAGAAGAAAAACGTGGGATCTTCCAATGATCAAAGCTCTGGCAGCGACAGAGATCGCAACGGGAGCGACCGCTCCGACGAAAGGGACAATAGGAGGGGTGGTGATAACGAGGTTTGTCAATCCTCTTTCCTCTATGCATCTGCTTTTGCGTCTTTTCTGCTATCTCACAAATGCTATTCTCTCGTCCATAGGAGAGGCCCGAGCGAGAAAATGATGAAGAGGTAGAAGAAGGTCCAGATCGCGACGAAAGCAATAGAAACAGGAACAGCAATGACAATGACAGTAGGAACGATAATGAGGAGGTTTGTGATTGACTCTGTATTGGCAATGTGCTCATCGCTACATGCAAAAGCCTATCCATGCCTTCTCACATGCATGCCCCTTCCCCTCTCATGTTGGTAGCAAGCGGAGCGTGGAGGGGAGGAAGCAGCCGAAGAGCGGCCCAAGCGCAAAGAAAGGGGTGACGGCGGCAAGAGGGACGGGAAGAGCGATGATAGTGATGCCAGACGCAAGAGCGAGGATGAAAAGGATGTCCGCGAGGACAATCCAAATGAAGCCGCAAATAGAGAGGACCTGAAAGCCTTGAAGAAAATGACGCAAGATGCTGTCAACAGGAAGATTCAACAGGAGGCGGAGAAGTGTAGACGACGTCGTGGACGTCTGCTCGAGAGCACCGAAAGCGGCGATGAGGGGTTCAACCCTTTAGGAGAGGGCCAAGTGCAAGAAGGTGGAGAGACCATGATGGGATATGGCTCGGACGAAGGAAAGAAGGATGAGGGCCCGGGTGAGACCATGATGGGGTACGGCTCGGAGGAAGGAAAGAGAGAGGAGGGTCCGGGTGAGACCATGCTGGGTTATGATGAAGCGACCCGTAAGCGGACTGAAGAGAAGCTCAAAAAGTTTGTCGACAGAGAAGTGAAGACCAAGATTGATGCCGAAGTCGGTGCAATGTGCGGTGAATAGGTGGTTAGATCGTAATAGTGAGGTGTGTGTAGTTCCTCGCAGTGAAGACTGGTGGGTGGTACAAAGCAGGGCAACGATATTTGTAGTCTCATACGTTTATTGCTTACTAGTAGGGTGCATGTAGAAAAGACAGCCATGAATCCATGACAAGTTTTGCTCGGCTTTGTAGAGCTATAGCTAGGCCGCAACCTGACACTCCACTTCAATTCTCTCTAGTCACACTGATGTCCATCAATTTGCAGTGTCCAAGGAGCACAAGAAGAACCTGAACGGTATTCAACATGAATATAGTACTGTGCTGAATCATCAATGGTAGAAACGATGACTTCCTGCATTGCCATACCCTCCTCCTCAGCAGCATCACGATAGTTGGGATAGTACATGTCATAGGGCGCAAACGAATCCACCTTGTACACATTCAGCTTGTAATCCACACCAGGAGGAACCTTGAGTTTGACGTTGTGTTCAACATTTCCTGGGCCAGCTCCTGGAGCACAATGGGATGCCTCACAGAAGGCAGTAGCAATGAACCACTTACTGGTAGTGCCGCTGTCCGTAAAGAAGGGAACCCACTCGGCTGCTTGGCACATGTACGCAAAATCATAGCAGTGGGCACTACCACCAAATGTTCCTGCATCCAGGGGGTTGTTGATATCACGAGCCACTTCACTGTGGGGAATACCCATGCAGCCAGCAAAGCCAAGGGTGGGATTCGCAGAAGTAGGCGCCATTGTTGCTGGACCAGCAGTGGGGACCACTGCAAGAGACTGGGGTGGGATCGTGATGGTAGTGGCGACCGAGGGTCTCTCAGTGTTTGCGCTCGCCGATACATCCACTGCAAGCGACTGGGGTGGGATCGTGTCTTGATGAAAGCCCACGATACTTGTATCTCTGTCCGGGGATTCGGCTGCTGCCTCCGAGTCCTCCGAGGAGGAAGATCTAAGCCCCCAGATACCATAACCAATGAGAATGCCGAGGCCAATGAGGTGCAACGCAAGCACGAGAAGCGCCAGAGGCCAAAGCCATTTAGACGGCTTCTTGGGCGGGGCCTCAGTCGCAAGCTGCTTCGTTGGAAAATTGGAGTAGGTATCCATCGCCATCGGCTGGACCTGGTGCTGGCGCGGAACCAGACGAATGGTGGGCACTGGAATTTGTTCAACGCTCTCTCGCCTGCTGCCCTCCATTTTGGTTTTCAGATTTGCTTGGGGTGAAATTGTGGCATCAAGGTACGAGTACTCTTTGTTCGTCTTCTTTGCTTGCTTCATCCATACCGATATGTACCGGTGTCTGGAATGCATAGGCTGACTCGGATCTATTGACCACGAGCTACTGGTACCGGTACACTACTGGTATATTTCCACCGAGGGATGCTAACCAGTGATCACAGGCTCGTCAACGCCATAGCCGCTGCGCCCCAACTCGGATCGTCACATACCGGTACCGCGACTCGAATGATCCTTCGATTGCTGATCGTTCCATTTGCTTGTACCCTGGGCTACCTGTACTTGTGATGTGAAAGCAATCCGTGGTGATGTGCTTGTGAGGAGCATGGCAAGGTAATGACAACTATAAGTACTACCGTAGACTCTGGAGGCAACAGGAACTCGTTCTTCCAGATCCGATCTGCTTTGCACGATTGCTCCGCAGAAAGGATTCGGTTACGAATCAAGAACCGACGGTGTTGCTCAACATCACAATGATGCTGTTAGCCAACATGCATCTTACCACTTCCTTCGTCACTTGCATTTGCCCACCTGGCTAGAAAGACAATGCAGCAGCTTCAAGAAGGTCAAGTAGCGACGAGCCACTGCCACAGCTACTTCGACATCAACCTTGGGACATACCGACGAACACCGTGCTGACAAAAGTGTACCGATCCCTTGTCTTTTCCTTGTGCCGTAGATGTTCTACTACTCTAGAGGGAGAGAATGTACAGTACAAATTTTGCATTGGTTTATGGGATGCGAGCTTGCGGATGCGATCCCATCTCTTCCGCCGGTAGATTAGTTTCCCTGTACCTTCCCAACCGAGTCTACCAATCAACAATTTATGAATCGGCACCTAACCCATCTTTGGTTCGATTGTTTTGCATGCTTGCAGGTTGCTACCCTGCGTTTGAAAAGGAATCGAATCCATGGAATCCTCAGTTGCCGCTACATGTATCAATCTCATAGCACTTTTTCCTGCACAAATTGATGGATCACGTCTGCTGCATTTTGATACTTCTTTCCAAGCATGACATCGTGGGGAGAGTCCACCATAACTGGACTGTCCAGGCCAAAGTACTTTGCCGTTTCGTCGACGCCCTCTTGATCCACTATAAAGTCCTCTGTCGCCCCAACAACCAGGAATGGAGGGTGCCCGTTGGATGTTTCTGGTGACGACAAGAACAGAGCTTTTCCAGCATCATCAATCTGAGAAGAGGGAAGTTTCTTGGCTAAATCCATCAAATCGATCGTGGCCTCTGAATCCCGATGAAAGTAGCCCATGTAGCGAATGACATCGTCGTCGGATACTCCACTGTCGTCATTGTCAGCACCTCCAAAAAATAGCTCTCGACAAAGAGCTGGGTCCGTGATCACCTTTTTCATTGCCAAACCAGCTGTAATCTTCCAGCTTGCTCGCAGGGAACGCCTCAGAAATCGCATTGTCATGCGACCATTCCCACTAGGGGGCACGCTGCACATGATGACTGCCCCACCGATATCCTGTAGCTTTTCGGGGTATTTCTCCAAATACTTCATGATGCTGAGTCCGCCAAAGGAGTGGCTGATGAGAATTGGTTTCAGTTCTGTGGATTGTAGCTTGGAGGGAACAAATTCCTCCAAGAAGGCCTTCAAATCTTGCACATGTTCTTCCATTTTGACCTTTTTGACTCCTTCGCCTGCAAATGTACCTCCTGTTCCACGCCAATTCAATGCAGCGACAGGATATCCAAGATTCGCAAAGTAGGGAAAGAAACGTTCGGACCAGCACCAAGCGCCATGAAATGATCCGTGGAGGAAAATAAGTGGTGGCAATTGAGGACCTTTCTTGTTGGTGGCCTTAGAAGAATCACTCCACAGGACCTTCATAGAAACACCACTGGACAGATTCTCTTGATCTTCGAGGAGAGTGACTTCTTCTGGTAGATTTGCAGCCATCTTCATGCTTCTTTGTCTTACTATCTTCTTGAGGTCTCTAGTAGAAGAGCCCATGTGACGGTATCCAAAGCTGAACGCTGAGCTTACTTGGCAAAGCATTATCAGAAGCCCAATCGTCACCATAAGATTGCCACACCTCTGGCAACCCATCTTTAGGATTGCATGCTTGGCAACCATCTTCTGTTTCCTCTGTCGGCATTCGGTTTGAGCAGGACCATTGATGTGCAAAATGACAGAAGGGTTGGGTGTTGGAAGTTGGGCTTCTCAAGACGTTGCTGGACTCGACTCCTCAAAGATCGCAGCTTTCACTGTTCGCCGAAGCTCGCAGCTTTCACTGGCTTCTTTTCGCCTTGGTAGAGTATGTAGTCGCTCGTGTTCCCGCTGTGATGCCAAGCCACAACTATCTTCATGAAGGGGGCATGTACATGACTGTTGTGGAATTTCTATTTAGTTTTCAAAAGAATGGGATGGCTAATCTACTATTCTGTCAGCCTTGCGAAAGACGCCTCGGAGAGTCTCCCAATGCCATTTCCATTGCATGAGTTTTTTGTCCAATGCTTAATGTCTTTGGGAGGGGCGTACAGCTGTAGCCTGTTGTATCGAAGAAAGTTTAAGCCAAGGCTGCCTCGTGTACGGTAGAGAGTCGAGTCTGGACTACGCTTTATTGTTGTTTTCAGAGGAGCAAAAAAACCAATGACCGAATGGAGTGACTTGTCCTTCAATTTTCGTTTGCAAAGGAAAAAGGTATGTCCGTGGGTCAGAGGGGAAAACTCAAATCGTGGCTGGGAGAGGGGGAGAGGCATTTCGAAAGTAAGTGAAGCCAAATTCCGCAGATTTCAATGCTCAATCCTGCCAGCTTGGCTGGAAGCATCGTTTGGTTCTCCCTGTCATATATGAAGCTCATGTGAAGCCGCCATAGCGTGGCTGTGAGCTAGCTCTGCGTCGTGGATTGTTGTTGTTGTGACAAGACCAACCAGAGTGGATTGGGATACGTCAAGGTTGGTTGATACGAGACGGTTGTCATCCATCCTAGATCCTCTTGGTTTGCAAGACGCCATGTCCATCCTTCCGCGAGCAGGACTTGCAAGACTTCACTAATACAAGATACTGAGAGGTTCCCAGCAGGACATGCTCGATCCCCAAACCCCCATGGGTACGCTTTCGGTACACGCCTCGTTTGGTGGTTATTGTTGTCAATAGAGAAGGTCCATGTATCGGAATCGTCAATGTCGTTGGAGTCATTATTTCTCTCTTGGTCGTCAGCGTTGTTGTCGCCATCATCATCATCACTCTGTTGGTGATGATGTGGATGACAATGAGCCATGGAGAGAACATCCAGAAGCAGTGCGCCTCCTTCCGGAAGGGTATGATCACCAGTCCAAGTAGGAATGGGCAAGTCCCCATGGACGGGACAACGGGGCAACGTCGCCACAGGCGGAAGGATGCGCAGCGTTTCATTCACGACCGCTCGACACCACGATCGATCGGCGTTTTCGGTAGAACGGAACGTTGCCAAATGAAGGAGACACCCTGCCAATGTCGTGGCAATGGTTTGCGTGCCGGCCAGCAATGCCGAGTGACAGTTGGCAATGACCTCGTTTCGTGACAGTAGAGTTGGTTGCTGTTGCTGATCTGTTGGGGTGTCCACCTTTTCCCGTTGGAGCAAATTAAAGGCCAGACATTTGTAATTTTCATTGTTGTTGTCTTGACTTATTGCTGTCATCTTCTTCTCAATATTGCGCACAGTTTGACGCACCGGTACATCCAAAGCGTCGGACTTGTCGGCGTTTCCTCGGACTGGCAAAAGAGTCGGATGGAACAAGTTGCGGATTGCCGACTGCAATTGTTGATGAGTCGTCGTATCTTCCACGCCATGCCCAAATACGGCAGCCATCATGGTGACAGTCGCCACTTGCAGGGCAAATTCTCTGACTTCCAATTTGGCAGTATTATGTTGTGCAGCTTGATTATTTAGCAGCTCCACGGCTGCTCTGGTGGCGGCTGGCACAGCAATGGTCTTGGTCACAGCGGCGTCTCCCAGAGCACGCTGAACCAGTGGACGTTGCCGCCTCCAGGAATCTCCATTGGCATTGGTCAGAGCGTGACACAGTAGTCGATTGGGTTTGACAGGTTTGTGCAATTTTGTCTTTGATGATGCTGATGATGCTATCGCAGTGTCATTCGTCGTGGAAGCCTCTTCTGCTTCTTCGGAATCTTCATCCTCTTTACTAGTTGCGAATTTACAGTCCTCATAACGCCTCAGCAACTCTTTTCCAGTTTCAGAACAAAACAACATTCTTGTCTGCGCTGACATGGATCGAGTGGGCATCCAAATACTGCCGTCCAGAGCGCTCGCTTGTCGTGCCGCGTTGACCCGTTCCATGGCGGTCGGCCATGACGATGTCATTGGCGGGATGTTGTCAGGCACATTGTCTTTCTTCGTCTTGTGTCCAAACAAGTGTTTCATCATCGTGCATGAAGGAAGAAAGGCATGGTCGGCTGGTTGTGGGATGTGCCATCTTGCTTTCGACGAGGATGAGAGAGGCTTTAGATCTTTTGGTTGCTCAAAACCCTTAACCCTACCGAAGCCGTTACGGTTACCGCATGTTGAAAAGGTGTGAACTTGAACGCACAATTTCTCTAATTTAATCAATATCCTTCCAGCTCTACTGTCTAGTAGACTGGCTATCTGTTTCGTTTTCTCTTTCTCTCTCGTTCAGATTGTG